CCGTGCTCATTGTCTGCTGCGGGTGATGGCAGCTATTCAGCGGCTGCCAGGTTTCGGGGAAAGGGAGAGATGAGCCACTCCTCCACCCACATTCTAGGAAAGCCTCTGGGATGAAGCCCTGCCGATACACACGTTCACTCTCCTCAGCAGGGAGGGTGTGCTGTGGAGCTTATATTCGCCCTCCGCCCGCATCCCACATCCCCCTCTTATCAGCGGGAGTGATGCTGAGGAGCAGCGCTTGGAAGCAGCCCTGGCTCCTGCCCTGTCCCACACAATAGCAGAGTCTGCTACTCCCCGTCTCCTTGCCTGTTTGCCTTCCAGAGCCAGGCAGAGTCTCGCCATCACTATTATTTTGCTTTGTGTCAATATTTTGACAACTAAAAGCAGGAGAACTGCATCCACATGATAAGCGGCCAGAAGCTCTGGGCTGGGCGTGGATCGGGTTCCAGTTTGGCAGGGGAGAAAAGCGCCTGGCAGCCCCTGCCCACCAACCGGCTGGGCTGGGAAAGCTGGAGAGCAGGGGCAGCAGCAGCAGGGCAGCAGCCGGTTTGTGCCCGTGTACCTCTCTTCGCTGTTCAGGGCTCACTGCCCTTTCCCCAGGGTAGATGAAACGTGATAAATGAGCAGAATATGCCTGGTTCTCTGGTGGAAAAGTAACCTCTGTCTTTCCTGAGGAGAGGGCTGCTCTGCTCCTGCTGGGAGAATCTCGCCCCTCCCATGGTTGCCATTCCCTGTGTCCCAGCCGGTGCAGGCCCAGGGTGCTCTGTCTCTGCCGGTGGCAGAAGGTCATGCACACTGCTGCAGCAGTCCGTCCTGCTCTCAGCCTTGTTTTTCCCAAGCACAGCACTCTACAGCTTCTGGAGAGAAATTCCTGCGGGCTTTCTGGGACTTGAATCTGCAGCTCCCACCCAGGGCTTCAGGAGAGGAAGGCGGGCAGAGCAGGGTGAGCTGTGCTGTGGTTACTATGTCTCTGCTTCCTGCTCTGCTCTCAGGCACTTGGTGTGCATGGGGCTGTTGTTTTGGCACGGTACCTGCGCTGGCTCTCGGGGCTGTTGGCAGAACGCTTACCTGTAGGTGCCCACGTATGCTTGGGGCTGTGGTGTGGCTCTCCAGTGCCTCACCCTGCTCCAGGGCTGTGCTTTTCTGCAAACACCCCTGGCCTGGCCAGTCCCCACAGCATGGGGGCACTAAGTGAATGGCACTGGGTCTGCCAGCTTTGATCTGTTCCTGGAATGCTGGCTGGATGAGGGCTGCACACACCCGACCCAGGGCTTGGCTCTGGCAGTCTCAGGGACATCTTTCTTGGTAGCATCGTCCCTGCCCCCACGAGGGATTAGTGTCTGAAAGCAGTACCCAGGCTTGCCGAGGATTCCCCTTGCCTGGGTTCTCTGCCTGGAGTGCTCTCAGGCAGTCCTGGTGCTTATCCCATGCCCCTCCAAAACTCATGTCTGACCTAGGTCAGCCTGCAGTGCCTGTGACCCGTGGGGACCAGCCCCTGATGTCCCCAGGCATGGAGCTGGACTGTCAGGTGCCTGCAGGTTTGGCTGTGGGTCCCCAGGGAGGCTGAGCTCCCCTCCCCAGGAACCAAAACAAACAGCAGAGTTCCTGCCACGTGCGGCCGGGGCTGACTAAGGCCGGACGCTTCCGCCTGCCGCAGGCCGCGGGGCCGGGGCCGTGAGCCACCTCCATTGGGGTGCACAGCCCGGCCCATTTCCCTCTATTGTCAGCCTGCCCCTCAGCAAACACATCCCCCTGCGCACCTGGGCTGGGAGAGGCACTGACGCCACCGCGGCCAGCCGCCAGGGACAGGGGATGTGCTGCCCAGGGCATCTCAGAGCTGGAGCTGCTGCAGCTCAGCTCTGAGGAGTCCTTCAGGACCCAGGTGCCCAGGCAGGTTGTTTGCAAGCTGTTTCCTTGAGGAACAGCCCTGACTGTTCAGGGGTCATTGGTGCAGCTCTGCTTGCCTGCAAGGGCACTGGAGATCCCTGCGTTTCTCAGAAGTCAGCACAGTCTCCTGAGAGAGAGGCCTGGGCTCCCTGTACCCATGGGCTGCCTGCCCTGGGTCACCTGTGCCAAGAGGCTGGAGCTGGGGATGCCCCAGCCCGACCATTCTCATCCTCATTCTCACTGTGGAGATACAAACTGCTGATGATTGACCTGGTTTATCTCAGTCCCAGCTGTGGACTGGCTCTCTGGTAGTGGAGCTTAGGAGACTCTAAGAAGAGATCCCAGAAGCAATCAAATTAAAGCAATCAAATAAAACAGTGAAGGTGAGACCTGGGGGCTCTGGGATGATGGGCAGGTGTGAGGGGCCCAATGCCCTACATCCTCATGCTGCTTTGACCTCAGCAGTCCCGTCACAATGCAGGATATAGGGAGATGCTGGTGGGGTTCTTGCCTACTGGGGTCAAACACAAGAGAGTGACTGTGCTGGGCACTGGATCGTGGCCCTTCCCTTGGTAGAAGCCTATAGCTTTGATGACACTGAGTTATGTGTCCTAAATAGCAGTAGAACAAAAATAATGCCCTGAGGATTCAGAGGCATTCTCCGAGGGCTTCAGGGGTGACACAGGAGGTCCTGGCTGCAGTCAGTTTAAGAATGATGCAGGGACAAATTTTTGTTGGGTTCTTTCCATATGAGATACCAAAGGTGGGATTTGGCAGGGTATAAGATGCCCGTGAGAGAACTCTGGTGCTGAAATGGGGCTGTTTTATGGAAAAGATTACTTAAGAGGGACCTTGCCTGCAATGGGCAGGGTGTGGTTTTGCAGGGAAGAGCAGCTGCTTCCTCTGGGCTCCTTCAGTGCTCATGGGCAGTCAGGGCCCCTGCTCTTGCCCCTCACCCTGAAGGTGTAGGAGGCATGGAGGTGACCCTGTTCCCTGGCAGGGCTGTGCCATGGCATGCTTGCAGCTGGGTGCCAGAGCTGGCCTTCCCACCTGACAGCCAGAACTCACCCACAGCAAGGACACACCATCATTCCTCACCGACCTCCTTCCTCAGCTCTGTGAGCAGGGCAGGGAGGTGGCACAGGCAGGCAGTGGCATATCCGAGGTGATGCTCTCAGTCAGCCCCACTGTGTGGGGCTCACTGCAGGGGAGGCATTTGCTCTTTAAGGAAATGTCTCTGTTTTCCTTACGTGCCTGGCTGGTTCCTTGAGCTTCCTCTGTCCCTTGCTCCCAAAGTGCGTAACTCTGCTCCCCAGAGCCGAGTGGGAGGCGGCACGAGGGACATGCTGGTGCATTTATAGCATCGACCTCCAGCCCTATCCTGCAGCTGGGGAAGGGCAGATTTGGCCCCCCAGGGAGGAGCATGGCAGAGGGGGAAGCAAGCAGCTGTGACCCCAGCCAGCTTGATGTTTCTCCCATATGCAGGAGGATGTTGCTGATCACAGGTTACCGGTGTCCAAATATTATTCCTCTTCTCCTGTCTCTGCTCCACACTGCCTAGAAAGTGGATGCTCATCCCAGGAATGTAAACTCTGCCCAAGGCCTCTGAGGAAATAGCTTCAGACCAGGAACAGGACTGCACTCAGCAATTAAGGGTTGGTCTCCCCAGCCACACAGCGCCTGGGGGAGAGCCCTTTGCTCCAGCGCCAGAGGCTGGCCTTGTGTCTGAGAGGTGGCCCCAAGGGACCTTCCTGCAAGGACAGGCATGAGGCCCCATGTGGTCACGGTCTTTGCAATAACAGGATTCTGTCTGTCCAGTGAGTTGGCAGCAGCTGCTGCTCAGGGCAGCCTCTGCTCTCGGGTGGGAGGAAATGCTCTCTTCACCCCATCTCACAACCATCCCTGGGCAAGTGGGAAGGGGTTCCCTTGGCCCAGGAGGGTACATAGGGTGGCAGAGGGAGAGCACAGGCATACTCCAGTCATCACATGAAAGATGTTACCTGCTTTTTGCTGCCCGGCCAGGAGAAGGAGTATGAACAGGCACTGAATGCTGCCCAGCAGCCCCGGCAGCTGCTGAGTTGGTGTTGTGCTGCTGAGTGATGAACTGCAGCACACCCTCCCCATGGTGGGGCTGGGATTTCTGTGTGCTTATCTCTGCAGCATCTCCATGCTAATTTGCCAGGCCTTGCTCCAGCAGCTTTGTCACATACTCAGTGGTACCAATGCCTAGAAGATCCTGACTGAGCCCAGCCTGAGTCACTTCCACTTGCATGGCCCAACAGGGCTGAGGACAGGCAGCTGACATGTCCTGCATCCCCTGGGGACAGATCCCACAGGGCTGGGAGCAGATCACAGGCATCCTCATGCTGCAGGGACAGACCTCACATGGTGTTGGGTAGGGAAGCCCTGAAGCAGCCTTCCCACTCTCCCAGGAGGACAGAAACGTGAATCCTGGCACGGACACAGAGCTCGTTATTTCCCTAGGACCTGCAGCCCACGGGGGATCGTGTTGCCTGTTGGCATCTCATCACACCTCCCATAGTTCCAGCTTCCCTGGCCTCTGGGGCTTAAAAATAGAACAGAAAAGGCCAACAGAGCTCCTTTGGGTTGGCAGCAGGGCTCGACCTGAGACTTGCTGTACCCCCTTCCCTTCAAAGCTGTAGACCAGAACCAGGATGCTGTCCCTGGGGCAGGGGGAGCTGGAAATCCTTTGACAGGGGTCCAAGGGCAGGAGCTGATGGAACAGGCACGGGGCAGCTTGAGGGGTAAGGGGCTGGGTGGACAGTCACTGGAAGTCTGAGTGGGAACAGGACGTCAGTAGAGGAATGAAGAGGATGGGTGGGAAAGGGGCTGTTGTATGGAGGCAGGAGCCAGGTGGGCACAGAACGGGTGGATGGGCACGGAGCACTGAAAGCAGCAAGCCGAGAAGCCCAGCATAGCCCCGGTGGCTCCTGCCGGCCGGGGATTCATCGGGCACGGGACGGTGAATGGAAGCGCCGGGGCAGCCCCAAGGACTAATGGCCGGAGGCGGTGCGGGGCGCTGGAGGAGGGGGCTCCGCCGCGTCCGGGAGCACCGGCCGTCCCCGCGGGGCCGGGCACCTGCTCCCGCCCCGCGGCGGGGNNNGAGGCATGCCGGGGGCGGCGGGGCGGTAGCGGCGGCGCCGAGTCTGTACCGGGGCGGCGGGAGCGGCGATGCGGCTGCTCGGCGCCTTCCTGCGGCTGCTGGTGGCCGGGACGCTGGGGGCACCGCCCGCCCCGGTGAGAGCCGAGGGGCGGGAGGGGGTCGGAGCAGGGTGCGGCTGCCCGGGGGGCCCCGAAGGCCGGGACAGCTGCTCCAGAGCCGAGGGGCGGGAGGGGGTCGGAGCAGGATGCGGCTGCCCGGGGGGGCCGCGAAGGCCGGGACAGCTGCTCCCGGCGCTGGGCGGGGGGCGGCAGCGGGTCACCCCGTGCTGCCCCTCCAGTGCTCGCCTTTCCCTCCCTGCAGGCCCCGGAGGAGCGGGGGACCGCCAGCACGGAGTCTCCCGGTGAGTCGGCAGTGGGCTGCCGCCGGTGCCCCGGCTGGGAGGGGGCAGCAGCCCAGGGAAGGCTTCGCGCAGGGCCGGGGCGCGTTGGGTACTACCCGGGGCTGTGTTACCTCTGGAGTCCCGTGGTGACAGCCGGGGAGGCAGCCGGGGGCTGTGCCGAGGCTCGGAGCAACCTGGTGCCCCCAGCCCGCCTCGGGCTCCGGGCACGGCCGCGGGCCGGAGCGGAACGCAGCCCAGTCCCTAGACTGCCGCCCCTGCGGTGCCGGCATGCGGGGTCCCGGGTGGGAGCGCTCCGCTTCAGCTCTCCCTGCTGGAAAGTCCCAGGGCACGGCTGTCCGGCCGGGCGAGGTGCGGGGGAGCCCCTTCGCGGCAGAGCTCGGGGTGAGCAGAGTGCCTGGGCAGGAGACGGAGCTGGCGGATAGAGGGAGAAAGAGCCTGTCGGGGCGGCTGTGTGAGCCCCCGCACAGTGATGTGCACAGTACGGTGACGGACTTTGAGAGCACAAAGTGGTGCTTTGCTCCCCTGTGCTCCGTGGTGGCTGCAGGATCCCCCCGCGGCTGCTGCACCTGTCCCGCAGCGGCCCGGCTGGGCTCTGCCTCTCTGGGCGCCTCCTTATAGTCCCTGTCCCTGTCTCTTGCAGTCCTTACCTTTCGGGAGATCTGGAATCGTAGTTTCTGCCGGCCTCTGGAGCAGCTGGTGGACGTCATTACCGAATTCCCCAACGAGGTGGAGTACATTTTCAGACCCTCGTGCGTCTCCCTGCAGCGCTGTGGAGGCTGTTGCGGGGACGAGGGTCTCCGCTGCGTCCCCGTGGAGACCAGCACGGTCACCATGCAGGTACGTGCTGCTGCTGCGGGGCCGGGCTGAGCTCACCGAGCGCCGGCAAGGTGAACCAGCAGCTTTGCATCCTCTAGACATTGTAGCAGTGTGGCCAGCAAGCGAGCGGACTTACGCTGCTCAAATGCATGCCAAGCCAGTAGGGTCCCTCCGCCTGCTCTTTGAGCTTGCCCCTGAGGTCAGGTGTCACCCCGGTGGTACTGGCCTCACTCCCTCCTTCCCCGACCTCTCTCTGTGTGGTCTGTCTTGCTTATTGCTGTCATTTTTCCAGACTTTTCCTGTCCTGTGGTGGGGCTGGGGGTGTTCCAGTTAGCAGTGGCTGCCTGCTGGGACAAAGCAGGTACTGCCCTTGGGTCGAAGGGAGGAGTGAGGCTCTCCTCTACCAGGCAATGCTTGGGGTAGTGCTGACATGAATGCCCTGGGGCATGGTGAGCATGAAGGGCTGAGCCAACTGCATTTTCAGTCACCACTGTGTGAGCTGTGAGATGTGGGGGGGAGATCCTGGGCCGTTCGACTCTTCCCCACGTACCAGGCAGCAGCTGTCCTCACACTGCAGCCCTGGCACTGAGCTGCCAGAGATCAACCTGCTGATGCTGCAGGGACCAGGCAAATGCTCTGCTTTGCCATGGATCATGGACTAGGGAATGCCTGCAATAAATCACCAGTGATTTTAGTCTCTCTGAGGTCTGTGAGGATTTTGGTCTCTCTCCAAGTGTGTTGGAAGGCAGGATGGCAAAAAGCTCTTGGGTGAGGTGGATCAAAAGTCTGGTGTGAACAGGAGGCAGCTCCCCAAGCACAGGTCTCCCTCTATGGGAGGGATCCTCCTGCTGTGCACAGAGTGGAAATGCCAGACACTTCTGCAGGGGCTAGTGTGGATCACACCAATGATGAACGTGCCCTGTAAGGCCCTTGGATGTCCAACCTGAACTTCAGGCTGGGCTGTGACATGTGAGAGGGTGAATCCTGTACTCCTGGGCTGGGGAGACACTCTGTGGTACTGACTCCAGTCAATTCCAATTCAGTGCTGTAGGAAAGGGGTCCAGGAGGAGGCAGCAGCAATGGGATTGGCCTGAAAAACATGACTGGGGGGATATTTCTGTCAGAGAAGGGAGGTGTGCAAAGGGGTCAAATATGTGAAAATTCTCTGGAAAGGCAGAGACTGAAAAATCTTTTCTAAGGCTGGGAAATCCCAAGACCATGGGACTTAAAGCCCTGAAGACAAGGGGTGGCGCTAGCAGAGCCTCCCAAGCTGCCAGGGCAGCTGGGCCTGGCCAGTGCTGCCTACGTGTGGAGGTGGACTCTGCTGTTGGAGGTCCCGAGGAACAGGTTAGACATGCATCTTCCCAAGAGCCTGGGGTGGCAAGGCAGTGGCTCAGGAGTCTTTCCAGCCCCCTCCTGCCACTACCTGAGAAGTAACCTTTGCTCTTCTTTCAGCTCCTGAAGATAAAGCCAAATGGGGAGGCGCCCTATGTGGAGATGGCGTTCACCGAGCACAAGCGGTGCGAGTGCAGGTGGGGACTCCTGGGTTCCAGAGCAACCCTGCCAGCTCCCCCCGTGTGTGGAGCAGGGCTGCCCTGTGGGCACCCTGGCTGTGCTGGCACCCTTCTTGCTGTCTTTGCATTAGGGTTTGCCAGTGCATGTGGCCCTTGTCCAGCTGCAGGCTGCAGCACATCTCTGCACCTGCTCCCACAGATGACGGGGTGCGTGCCATTGTGAAGACTGGTCAGGCACCATGCACTGTCTGCAGGGCTGTGCTCCCCACCCCTGCAGCTGCCTTGGCATGCCTGCTGTATGCTCCTTTAGCCAGGGGATCTGCCTGTGGGTAATGGAGTGAGGCTGGTGGCTCTGTGGCAGGTGTTTGGTGTGTGACAGCACGTCCAAGGTGGTGGCTCAGCGGGGAGCTCCAAGGTTGGCATACCTGCATGTGACCGTGCCCACAGAGAAAGCTCAACAGCTGAGTCTTGGGCTACCATTTGAGGGAGGCTGCCCCATACAGACCTGGGGGTATGGCAGAGGTTTACACCCAAGCCAACAAATGAAAGCCTAAAACACGCAGTGCCAGCCTGGCCTGGATAGGCAGTGCTGGCCCGGAATGGATGTGCAGCACCTGCCTGCCACAGACTCCTGGCACCTTGTCAACCCCTTGGTTGGGGTGTCTCTGTGCTCTCTGTGTCCCAAAAGTGGTGAAAGCCTGGGCAGGATGGGGCCTCTGCCTGAGGACTGCAATGCTGTGGGAGCAGCTCTGGTGCTGCCTGCAGCTGGTCCTTGCCATAGAGACTCCAGCACTGCCTGCATGGGGGGTCCTGGTAATCACTCTTCATCATGATCCAAGGGTGATTTAGTGTTGTGAAAACTGGGGAATGTGTGTCCTGCTGGGCAGCCATTAGACATGATCCTTGCCTGGAAGAACATCCTGAGGATTCCCATACTGGTATTCCCCTGCAGTTTTATGAGCAGCTGTACTAGAGCAGACCCAGCTCCACACGGTGTCTGTCTGGAATGTCTGTCAGTACATGCAGAAGGGAGAGTGGGAAGAAGCAGATGTGTCACTTGCCTCCTTCTCTGCTTCCAGCTATTTCCCATGCAGGGAATTTCCTAAGCTTTTTGTGGTTTTCCTGCCTAGGGTATCTCCCAGGGGATCTCCTATGAGCACTTGTACAGGCTGCCTTCTGCAGCAGTTTTTGGCTTCTTCCTAATCTGCTTTCCACACCTGTACATCACTCCCTTTTGTAGTTAGTGTAGGTGTGGCAGATCTCCTGGCTGTGACCCCCATGGGGGAGGTAGGTCATGGCTGAGAACCTACTACTGAGACTCTGCAGCAAATCCCCCCATGTTTGTTACTCAGGATGCTGCACCTTGTTTCACTATGAGATGTGAAAGCCATCACTAAGAGCAGCTAAGACTGAACTTGCTCTCCCCAGCCTCACTGGCAAAATGTCACATTCCCAGGGTAGTCAACAAAGCTGACCAGCCCCTTTGCTCTCTGCCTTCTCTCTGCCTGCTGCAATCAGCCCTGACTGAGGGCTTGATAAGTTCAGGAGAAGTGATGTTGTGTCTGTTTTAAACATGAATGATAACAGGTAGATTGTGCTGTGCACTGGAGCATGTCACAGGAGCAGCTCCTGCAGCTCAACCTGCAGCACTGACCAATAACCACATCTCTCTGTCATTTTTCCCACTCTGCAGGCCCCGGCAGGACCTGATGAGGCTGGGAAGGTAAGTGACACCACGGGCACTGTTACTGGCTGGGACTGTGGGTCTCATCTCCCACACATCAGCCCTTCTTGTGGTACTTTCCTTCTGAAGGAGGAGGTCCAAGGGCCGAGGTAAGAGAAGACAAGACAAGAAGGGACGGAAAGACTGTGAACTGTAAGTGAGCAGGGGCAGGTATGGGTGGCATCTTCTGGGTTAATTTTCTTGGGATGAATGTCTTCATTAAGCATTTAGATCTTTGCTGACACTGTGAGCACTGAAGGGTTTGTGCAGAGCAGACACAGAAGTAAGCAGGAGGGGGCAGTTGCTGAGGGGAAACAGGCCTTCTAGCAAAGACTCAGAAGGTACTTGGTAGTCTCCAGGCTCAGCAGCTCAGACCTGGGCACAATGGGGGTGGATGGGCTGGGTGACTTGACGGTGTTTAGCCCTATTGCCATCACAGACCATGCTGGGTTTCCTGGATCCATGAATTTCCAGTTTCAGCTCATCTTGCTGCCAGTTGTGTCCTTACTGTTGTCCTTGACTGATTGTTGTTTGGGTTACTCTACTCTTTCCGTCCTTTATCTCACTTTCTCAAACTCCTTGCTGTTACAGCACAGGCTGGACTCATTGTGGGCACTTTTGAGGTGTGACACCTGTGGCTAACAGTTTGCTCCAGCATTTTCCCCTTTTGTCTGAAGTCTGCTGTTGGGGGCTCAGCCGGTGCCAGCCCCACCACCCTCACTCCTCCCCATGAAGAGGCTGCCTGCAGGCCCTACCCCTGCAGTTGTGTGTCACAGGGGCCAGGCACAAAGAAGGGGATGCAGGGCAGAGAGGTGAGCCTCCCGTGCTGGCAGTGCTCACCCTGTGCCATGCTCTCTTTGCAGATGTGGCACACCGCGCAGGTAGCCTCTGCCCTGCCCCCAGCCTCGCTCCTGCCACCTGGGTTGGAGCCAGCTGCCTTTGTCCCCAGAATGGGACACTTGTGGAGTCATGTCCCTCCAGCTGCAGCGGAGAGCAGGACTCCAGCACAGAAGAGCTGACTGTTACTCTTGCTTGGCCCTGGTGGGAACACGGCCTGGCACCAAGGACTCCCTTGCCCCATCTGCCCCACTGGCAGCAAGAAAAAAGGACTTGTGACCAAGCCTGGGGCTGAAGATGAGGAGCTCAAGCAGTTTGTTGGTGTTTGAGGACATTCTAGGGGCAATGAGGAGCCATGTGCTGCTGGAACTGGCTGGGGAGGACAGCATGATGTGGAGATGGCTCACAGGACTGCACCTGCAAAACTTCTCTGTCCTGCCAGCACTCTGCAGCTGGGGAGGAAGGAAATCTGGGGCAGGCAAGGCTGTAGGGCTGCATCCGTCCCAATTTTGGCACAGGGCAGCCCAGGCAGGTGCCAGGGATCTTGCCTGGGAAGCTGTTCTGCTTGGGAACAGAAGGGAGCTGGGCTCCTCATGTATTCACAGCTACATCTCAGCTTTGCCCTGCTCAATAAAAGCTGGTCAGACATGGGAGCTGGCAGCTCCTGTCTGCTTTCCAACAAGCACAGGGAACTTCCCCAAGGGCACCCACTCAGGCTGGAATGGGGCAGTGACCCAGGGTTTGTCCCCATCACCTATCCTGCAGCACCAAGGCACTGCCCTTGGTGTGATGCTGGAGATGGGCAACCAGCAGGTTGCCCCCTGGGCTGGGGGCTATCCATGTGCTGGAGTTCAGTTGGCTGCTGGGAGACCCTTGGGTGGGCTGCCCTTCCTCTCCACACCAGTGTGGGACTGGTACCTCTCTGTGTTCACTGTGCCCATCCTGTTCTCACCCCAGTCCAAATGTCTGGCTCAGTGTCCTGTCCTCCCTGGCAGGGCTGATGCAAAGTTTAGGGCACTGGAGTGCAGGCTGCCCACTTGGGAAATACCCCACTAAGGGTCATTTACCTGACATGGGAACAGACTGGCCTGGGGCCTCCTTTCCTTACTGGGAATACCCTTAGGATATAAGGAGCTGGTGGTCCTCATCGAGGTGGCTGTGGGGACTACTGTTTCCTGCTTTTCCCACTCAGCCAGCTCTCTGCCCAGGTCTAGGGGGAAGCCACAGCCCCTGGTTCTCCATGCTTTAAGCAGTTCTCCTGAGTTCTCCCTGTCTCCATTTCCACCCCTGCTGCAGTGGGTCTGGGGCTGTCTGCCAAATGCATGCCATGCTGATCTGTGCAAGCCATATCCTGCAGCAGTGCATATGGCTGGAAACCTTAGGGGTGAGTTGGCATTTGCATATTTGTGGGGCACTCCTGGCACTGGGCTAAAAAAAAAAAAATCAAGGGTTATTCTTGAAAGCTTCAAACAAAAGACTGGAGGGCAAGATCTGCAAAGGTTTCAAGGTTACCCTTAAATGATGGAACCTGTGGTTTATCCTGCTCTGAGGAACAAGGGTGGAGCCTAACATAGCAAGAAGTGGGGTCCAAGGTGGCTCCTTCCCACATCTGACAGGGCTGCCTGTGATGGGGGTTAATTAGGACTCTCTAAGCCATAATGGTGGTGTTGCCTGAGGCTGGCACAAGGATGTGGGGACAGGGCAGATCCCTTTTCCCTGTCAGGGAAAGCTGGAGGTTGTAATGTGAACCTGCATGCTGCCACCATGTAGCTGGCATGGACTGTGTGAGTTGTAGCTGTGCAGCTGGGCATATCGTTCAGAAGCTTGCTGGATCCCTTTTGGATCCCATTTCCAGGCATCCATAGTATCCTGGAGCACAGCCTACATGGGTTTTGCCTCAAAAATAGCCCATGAAGTTCCTCCTTCACTACCTCATAGATGAGGGGAACTCACTGCTCCCCTTCCCATATCACTCAAAGTCTGTGTGGGCTGTGTGCTGGCCTGGTCCACGCAGGCTTTCCCTATCACTCTGTGTCATTTCTGCCTGGCTGGTTTTGCTCTGAGGCCAAGGAGAACCATGTGCAGCACTTGAGGATGTATGTGATGGTTTCTGTATTGTCTTTAATACCCCAGTAGTATTACATATTTAAAAAAGGAAGTTACCTAAATCAAGTATGTTAATAAAAATAAGTTTATCAAGACTCATTATTAGGATTAAAACAAAGTCAAACACACTAACACACAGTGGCTTTTCCAAACAGTTCCTGGTGTCTGGTGTCATCTCTTTGGCCACTGCCTGGCACTGAAATATTCCAGGCAGCTCTGCCCATCAGACATGGCAGGACCAAGCACCTGCCTTGCACAGACCCCTGTGTTGCTTCTCCCTCCATCACCTGAGCTGCCTGGGTGCTGTGTGTGGCCTTGTCCCCTGCTCCTCCCATGCCATGGGGTGTTTGATAGAAAAAAATGTGGGTGCTGGGAGGGATGTGGCTGTCCCAGTGCAGCCATGAGCAGAATAGTTGGGGCAGAGCAGGAGCAGGGGAAAAGATTACTTACACAAGAGGTCTAGGAGCTGCATCTCCAGCTGTCAGGACTTCTTCCAGCTCTGTGGAGGTAACAGGAACCTAATGAGCCCCAGCTCATGAACTTCCTGTGATTGCTGCAGGCATCACACACCCAGGGAAATGCTAGCTCCTTTCCTTATCCCTGCCAGAGGGGACAGTCCTAAGACCCTATTCATCCCAGGGGGCAGGGACTTCCAGGACAACACATGCAATGGAAATATGAGGATCAGGGTGGGGGATTGCTGGTCTGAGGGGCAGAGGGGTTTCCTGCTTCAGGGCTTGTGTCCAGTGCCTGTTTCCTCTCAAGGGGACCAACCACTGTCTGCCTGTCCCTCCTCTGTGTGGTCCCAGCTGTAGCTTTTCTATACCTGCAGCTCCTGGCAGCCCTCCTTGGCCACAGCAGATGTGTGAGCACTCTGACAAGGCCAGCTACATCTGCAGAACCCCATGTCCCCCAGGCACTGCAGTGCAGGGCTGTAGGGGGAGACTGGTGCCCTTGTGAAGGGACCCTGACATACCCCAGCCCCAAAGCCAGCAGCACCCACCATGGACAGGCAGAAAACATGTTCCAGCTCTCCCAAATCCCTCATCCTTTCCCTGCCTGTGTACCCCTTGCAGCTGTCCCACAGAGCCCAGGAACAACACATCACTGGGTTATCAGTGTCCCTGGGCTCACTGTGTCTTCCAGCCTTACAGGGCAAAGGTTTGTTTAATAAGGCTTTAGGAGCCAGAGCTGCAGTAAGAGGGTTTAGGAGGATAGTTATAGAGAGACAAAACATAAAGCAGCCTTATGCAGCAGGAAAAAAAATTTCAATTTTTTGGGAAGTAACAGTAAAGGTGATGTGGGGATTGGCCCAGAGATGTAGCATTGTAGCTGATGAAGCCCTGATAAAGCTTCACTGGTTACCTCTGGTCTCCCTGAGCACAGGCTGCCATCAGAGCACTGCCACCCAGCAGCATCTCCAGGCCATGCCATGCAGGTCTCCCACGTGTCTCCATGCAAATAAAGAAACACTGAGGCCCTAACTTCTTGATTGTGATTTACAAGTCTTTCACACACTCACACAATTTGGCATAATTTGGCAAGTGAGTTGTCCCAGCAGCACCCCTGCTCTCATCCCTGGCTCTCCTTCACTTCTTGCCTGCTCAGACTTTTCACTTCCAAGGAGGAGCCTCCAGTCTCTGGAGGGAGTTAAAAGATGACAAAGAGTGTGGGGTGTAAATAGGCTGGGCAGAAAAAGTAGGTCTCTGTTAGGCAGAAGTTGGAAAAGGAACCTGGAAGTGTTTTGAGGAGAAACCAAAGGACCAAGCACACTGATTGTGTTTGGGCAGTGAGATGTCTTACAAAGCAGATGGCTTTGCATCCTCCTAGACTTGCCCTCTGAGGCATAGTTAATACTTGCATACTCCCAAAGAAATGGTGTTTTTAAGAGAGAAGTGTTTGTTTGCTGGATGCTGAGCTGTGGGCACAGGTTTTACTGTCCTGTTCTGTTGTTAACAGGATGGGCTGTGCAAAAGAGCTGCCCAGTGCACCTGAGCCCAGGGAGATTCCCTACAAAGGTGTGCAGGGTTGAAGTAACCACAGGTCAGCCACAAATGGATGCCCCCTCTGCCAGTCCCACAGCAAGTACCAGGTCCAGCAGGGGCTGGACACAGTGACTGACCAGTCTGCTGTGGTGTGATGGCACAGCACAGGGCCAGCTCCTGACAAAATGAAAACCCCCATCTTAGGATCATTTCCTGTTGTAGTGGGACATGCATAGGTTAGCAACGGATGGACAAATATGCTGGGGCCTCCCTCTTCCCAAAAAACCTTAGCACAGTTTTTCCAAGGGTATCCTTTAGCTTTCATTCCAGCCTTTCTCCTTTTGCAGGTCCCCTGCCATGCCAGCAAGGCAGCTATTTAATCTGGGACCAGCCATCCCACAGACACAGCAAACCAGTTGGTAGAAACCACTTGAGCACTCCTGGTTCAGCAAATCTCCTTCACTAATAACTGCAGTGATCTAGCAGGCCCTGCAAGGCATCCTGGCCTTCCAAGAAAAAGCCAGGCCAGGAGGGCAGGAATACGTGTTTCTAGGATAAGCCAAAGACTGATATTATCCACATACAAAGCATTTGTTAACCACCAGCTGGGATCTCGATTACGCTGTCACTTTGCTGCATCTTAATGCACTTGTGCTGATGTTCCCTGTGCTGTACATTTGGAATAAGTTGGTAAAACCCAATGAGTCTGCAAGAGCTGGTAGAAGGGCTGGCTGAGAGCTCAGTGTCAGGGCCAACGGCACCCACTTGAAAGAGGAAATTGGGAAGAGCCAGGGGTACCCTGGGCTGGCCATGATGAAGTGGTAAGACACCCACCAACTTAACTGTGGCAGTGGGGAGCTGCTGAATGGGTGCACCTGCCGGCTGGACGGCAGCGACAAAGGCTAATTAAAACACAGCTAATTACGCGTTATGGGAGGGAGGAAACACGGCTGCAAAGGCATAATTTGATGAACGGGAGCTTGGTTAATTAAGGGCAATTTATGGTGAATAAGGATGGTAATAAAGCGAGCGGAGCAGCGGCGCTCGCCGCGCGTTAACGGAGAGGGGGAGCGCCTGCCTCGGGCGGGGGCGGGACCCCTCACGGATCCCGCGGGGGGCGATGATGATGGTGATGGGCCGGCGGCGCGGGGCCATGAGCCGGGCGGAGGCCGAGCCCTGCTCCCGGGCGCTGGCGCAGGCCCGTGTTTACCTGGGGCAGCTGCGGGGCCGCGTGGGCCCGGCGGGGCCTGAGGGCGGCGGGCGCCGCGATTACCTGGTGGAGGCGGCGCGGCAGCTGCGGCTGGCGCTGGAGCGGGACGTCAGCGAGGACTACGAGGAGGCCTTCAACCACTACCAGAACGGCGTGGACGTGCTGCTCCGCGGCGTGCAGGGTGTGTGCGACCTCCCGGGGACCGGGGCATCCCTCCGGGGACACCAGCCAGGGGACCGGGGCATTGACATCCCGTGAGGGGCCAAGGTATCCCTGCAGGGAGAATGAGAAGGGGACGGGGAAATCCCGGTAGGGACTGTATCGAGGGCACTGGGGCATCTGTCAGGGAGTGCATCCCTACCGGAGAAGGGCAGAGGGCTGGGGCATCCCCCTGGGGGCTGAGGCCAGTCCTTCGGGGCCGAGCCAGGCCCCTCACTGCCACCCTTTGCACCGACCGCAGTTGACCCCAACAAGGAGCGTCGGGAGGCCGTGAAGCGGAAGATCACGCAGTACCTGCGGCGCGCCGAGGAGATCTTCAATTGCCACCTGCAGCGGGCGGCGGGGGGCGGCAGCACGGCCGCCACGGTGAGGGCTGTGAGGGGAGCGGGGCAGCACCACTGCCACGGTGAGGGCTGTGAGGGGAGCGGGGCAGCACCACTGCCACGGTGAGGGCTGTGAGGGGAGCGGGGCAGCACCACTGCCACGGTGAGGGGAGCGGGGCAGCGCGGCCGCCACGGTGAGGGCTGTGAGGGGAGCGGGGCAGCGCGGCCGCCACGGTGAGGGCTGTGAGGGGAGCGGGGCCGAGGTGGGATGGCGGCGTCCTGTGACACTGGGACACGCGGATAGAGCAGCCCCAGCCTTGTCTGCCTCTGCCGAATGCCACGCTGAGATGGTGTAGAGAAAACGGCAGGCACATGGAGCTGCCGAGTGTCCTGGCTGCCGGTGGCTGTAAGGGAGCTGGCAGCTCTTCGCCCTGCCTGGATCAAGGAGCCGAGGGGGGCCCAGGCTGCCCAGGGTGCTTCCAGGACCCCACCCTCCAAAGCGTGTGTGCTTGGCTTGCTGCCACCACAGTGGGTATGGACATTTTTGTGGAGACTGAAGCCACTGCAGGGAACCAACCTGTCAAATGTTAGAAATGTCCTTTTCCCCATCTGTCGTCTTTTCCATCTGTATGGAAGCCAAAGACAATGGCTGCTTTCTGCGTTGTGGGAAGGAAGTGGTTAAAGAAGGGAAAGGGGAGTGAGGCAGGGCAAGGTCAGAACCTACTGGGAAGAATGCAGGGAGAAAGACAACTACCTTCCACACAGATCCCCTTAATGGTGAAACAGTCCAGGTCTAGCTTCAAATTTTGGTGTGATTTTTACCTCTGCTGCAAGTGCAGTCTTTCCCCAGAAAATTTAAAAATCCAGGGGTTGGCCAAGAAAATTGTCCAGCTGATGTTAGAAATGAATTGTGGCCATTGGAGTGTTTTCTTTACATGTTGACCAGCCGGGCAGTATTGCTGCCTCCTCTGGAAAATGCAGGGGCTTTTTTCACCCACTGTAATGGACAACAGCATTTCTAGGTCCTACATCTTCTCTCACCACCTTGCAGGGCTACAGCAGCCTGCGCTTCCGGCCCATCAGGACCCTGAGCTCAGCAGTGGAGAACCTGAGACGCTGCAAGGTTGTGGGAGTGATTGATAAGGTAATCACTTGACCTGGACGTGGGGGTGAGGCTGGGGCTGGGCCAAAGGGGGGGTCCTAGCAGCTGGAATGGGGGTGCCAGCCCTCAGCATATCCATCAAGCGATGCTGGGGTATCCATCCACACCATTCCCACCCAGAAAAATTCATAGGAGAGGACTCAAGACCCCTTAAGGAGTTGATTGGGCAATCTGTTAATGTTCCCATTGCTTTTGCTTACCAGACCTCCTAAGATATTTACGAGGAGATTTATGCACCTCGTTCTTTCCCACATATAGAATTGTGTTTAATGCCCAGGTGCCACAATGGTGGAGTCCTGTGGATAATCTAGACTTCAGCAAAAGCTGAACTATCCAGATGAATAAACTAATTATCTTGGAGTGAAGATGCCAGGCTTACTGTGTCCACACACACATGGCACATTGCTCTCCACTGCTGTTCACACTTCGCAGTTTGTCAGGACTGATGTGATCATTATCTTGGAGTGAAGATGCCAGGCTTACTGTGTCCACACACGCGGCACATTGCTCTCCACTGCTGTTCACACATCGCAGTTTGTCAGGACTGATGTGATTCTCCTGTCCTCCAGTTTGAGCCCAAAAAGGGCACTGTGAAACCCTTCAGTGTGAAGGAAGTAAAACTGGCACGGGAGTTGGCATGCCACCATGGCATGCCACCTCTTGGTTTAATTAATTTCCTTCTTCTTGGCTGCATGGCTGTCTCCTTGCCAATAACCTGTGTTTTGCCTTTCAAAAGTAGGGGTCTGAGCCTCACGAAACTTCCAGTTGGGTGGGAGTTTGTTTCACTTCCAGAGTTGAGACCTTTGGGTCATTGCTATAGGCTGTGTGTTGTGTCACCACTTCTGACAGTGCTGTGTATAATGTCCAGGTGCAGATTGTCCAGGATCCAGCCACTGGTGAGACCTTCATACTCAAGGTGGGTGTGTTCAGTTTCATCTGCTTGCTTCTCCCTCTCAGGCTGGGGCCACCTTGTCCAAGCTGATGAGCAGGTGAGAGGATAACAAATAGCAGCTCTCAAAGGCTGGACAAAGTTCATGGTTCAAAAATCTTCTTTTGGCTGCCTCAGCCATCCTCTGTGATCAGAAGGGAAATGGTTCCCCTTGGTCATCTGTTTCTCTGGCTTGTAACACTTCAAGCCAGTGCTAAACTGGGTCAACCCCCGAAGCAGGTTGTGAAGTGTGCTCAGTACAAGTCTTAGGGTATTTTTCAGTGCCCTTGGAACTAATAATGAGGTACTTAATTAACTGGACAAGGAGGATCTGGCATGAGAGAGAGAAGCATAATTTCCAGGGGAGGAGGAGAAAGGGTTGGGGTGGCAGGTTCCTCCCTGAAGGGAGCAGGGTGGTTGCAAAGGGGTCAGTGCTCTGGAGCAGCTGTGCCCTCTGGGTGCCACAGTGCAGATGGGGAGTGCCCTACCTTGGCAGAGCTGTGCCCAGCACTGCCTTGTCACAGCTGGCTGCTGGGGACAGACAGAGCTGTATGAGCCACAAGTTTGTGTAGATGGGGACTCCATCATGGGTGACCTGGGAGCAGCCACGGGGCTTGGCAGAAGGCACACTCCCTTCTGCCTGGCCTCCAGCCCTGCCAGGTGCTAGGCTGCACAGAATCCCAATCCCTACTGTGCTGTACCACCCATCTCCCTGTGCCTCCCCAGAGCCTCCCCAAGTCCCACGTTGAGACCCGTCAGCGACAGACCATCATCCCTCACGGGGTCCCCTTCATGGTCAAGCTGTTGTGCTACTATGTGAGTGAGGACTCCATCTTCCTCCATCTGGAGCACGTGCAGGGTGAGTGAGGACAGCCTTGCCTTCCATCTGTGAAGCATCCTGGTTTATCCCAAACTGTCCTTTCTTCAAAACCCAAAGTACGTTTCTCCTCCTGTTTTGGGACTGGTTTTATAGTGATAATGTAAGCTGTCTTCTTCATAGAAGGGTGGTGGCTACCCGGGCCTGGAGACTTAGTGAGCAGAGGAGTTCAGCTGTGAATTGCAGAGGTTTGATAAGAACTGGCTGGGCATGTAACCTAGAAATGGGCCTATGGAGACCTACAAGGAGAAAGAGGTTGTCTGTGTGTGGCTGTGTTATATGGAACCCAGCCTCAGTCTTTAGAGAGATGAGCCACCTCGCCTCATGGGAGGGAGTGGTCATGCCTTTAGGTAACAAAATTGATGTGATTCAGCATCTTGGAAAGGAAAACCTCTTCATTTTACTGGCATTATCTGACCATAACAGGAAGGTGATGGAGAAGGAGAAGGAAGTGAGGTAGTTCACCTGAATGTTGTAAAACAAAACCATCTTTTGACAAGACCTTTATAAAACTTTTTTTTTTTTTTTTTGGTTACAAAAGGTCACACTGGATTTTGAGATCATACCAAAGAGAGGAGATGGAAAATTAGGGCATAAGGGGCATAGACCATACTGGTCTGGTGGGGTTTGGGTACATCAAGAAGGCATACTTGAGGTTGTCCCAGATCCTGGTTAAGAAGTATGACAAGGTGGAAGCTTCTCCCATGGAACTTATTTACTCTGCTGGTTGAATGGATGTGTAGGGAGCAGCAGCTGGAGTCCAGTAATGACAAAAGGAGGCTGACATGGAGAACAGGCTCAACTCCTTGTGCATTACCATAGGATGAGTTTACTGAAAGAAGCCAGCACTGAATGTAGTGAGGCTGGGAAGCCCTGGCAACATGCTGTGGGCTCCAGGGTTTGCTGCTCTGTTTCCTTGCTGACCCATGGCCTCATGCCATGCTGTGGGAGCTCTCTGGAATTTCTGTCACACAGGAAGGAAAGGCTTTCAGGGGGAAGTGGAGATGGCAGTGGGATCAGGAGCATTTGTGAATATGTGGCTTGTCTGTGACATGGTAGTGGCAGAGGTGGGATCAAAGAGACTGTGTAGAATGGGGAGAGGTACTGGGACTTAGGTGTGCCAGGTCCTGGGGAAGCTGGGGCATTGTGCATGGTGTGCTTGTAGGGCAGGGTTGCATTCTGCATGGACTTGAGCTTTGCTGCTGGGGAGATTAATGATGCTCCATCACAGCCCCACTGTGTGAGCCTTGGCCTGGCCTGAATGGGGGAACCAGGGATAATTTCTGCCTCATCACTTGTTCTCCTTTCTGCTTTCCAGGGGGGACACTGTGGTCTCACCTCCGCTCCAAGTACTGTGTGCAGCAGGACTGTGCTGATTCAAACACCATTCAAGCCTTCCAGGACCATGGCACAGAGGATGGTGTGGGAAACTCCCAAGGTGGCAGCCAAGTGTCCCTCCTCCCTTGGACAGGCAGTGGCCTCCCAGGCTCTGTGAACTACCAAGTGTTGGGAAGCACTGATGCCTCAGTCCCCCAGGAGCAGTCCCCTGGCCCCACAGACTCTGGCTCAGGGAACCACTGCCAGCTTCTCCTGGCTCCTGCTGGTGGCAGTGGGGCTGCACCCGGAGGACAGGATCTGAGTGTGACACAGACTGTATCTGGTGTTGTGGACCATTTTCCAGCAGCATCAGCCAAATGCCCTGGCCATCTTGCCAGCCAGGGCCTGGTTGTCTACCCATGGAATGATCTAACCAGCAGCACAGGCTGCATATCTGAGAGAACAGCCTCCCAGCAAGGCCCCAGGCTTCCCCAGGGGCTTGTCCCTGTTCCAAAGACTGTGAGAGGGGGCCAGCCAGGGGCAGGGCAACTGCCAGCTCAGAAAGTGTCTGAGGCCTCGCAGGCTCAGCCCCTCCTGACCCAGGGTGAGAGGCAGCTTCCTGCAGGAGTTGCCCTGTCCAGCTCTGGCAAACCCAGTGTGCCTGACCCAGCCATGTGGGAGCCTTCTTGGAGAGCAAGCCTGACCTGTGGCTGCCTCAGCAAACAGCCAGCATCAGGACAATGCAGGGCTTTGGCTTCCCACGGGCACAACCGGAGAGCGTGGGCTGTAAAGGAAGAGCAGGTGCAGCTGTGGGCAGCAGAAATCCTCCTGGCCTTAGAGGGACTTCACCAACAGGGTATATTGTGCCGGGACCTCAACCCCAGGAACCTGCTGCTTGATACAGCTGGTAGGTAATGCCCTTTGCTGCTGCCCCAAGGAGGAGGAAATGGGTCTCCCAGCTGGGAGACTGCTGCTTGCCCCATTTCCAGAAAATGTGGACTTTCTTGTGTTTGCTTTGGAGGAGGGTGGGAGTCTGGGAAGGTTTGGTATTTCTGAAATTGGAAGTGTGATCTCACTTAGGTTTTCCAAGTAATTCTTACAAGAGATGGCTCTGCAGCAGGAGAGTCAAGGGGCATAGCCACAGAAATGCATTGCCCCTGCTCCCGTGTGGGGGTTGGCTGCCTGGGAAATCCCAGCCTGGGGAAGCTGAGACCAGCTGAACTGTGCTTGAGGTTAGTGGGGCTAGTGGGTTAGTTTTCCCCTGCTTATAGTAACTGCCTGCTGGGGATGTTCTGGAGCTGTCCCATCCCTCTGAGCCATGGGTCTTGCTGTCAGTGCAAGTCCCCACTCAGCTGGCAACATCTGGGACAAATTGGAGAGCTACAAATTGCTTAAGGAAAGAAAAATGCAGAGAGTTTTGCAAGGAGAAAGCTAACCTTCTCCCCCCCTTTCCCTTTAAAACCTGCTTCTTTCCTCACCACAGCCTGCACTGAGATCTGTGAGCTTGGAGCCTGCCTAAGCAGTCTCACCTGTTGGGCACCTGGGGCAAGCACTGGGAGGCCAGCAGAGGGGTGTGGTGCCAGGGGATGCTCAGTTCCTCTGTGTTCAGGGCGTTACAGGGCCCCAGTGCCCTGGCTGATCCCAGTGGCAGGGATATGGCTTGGCCTCATGCTACGACCAAAGTGCCCAGTCTTTCCCAACCTTCCAGCTTCTGACTTGGTGCTGCTCTCTCTGCAGGTCATGTCCGTCTCACCTTCTTTGGCCAGTGGACAGAGGTGGAGCCCCAGTACTGCAGCCAGGCACGGGAAGAGCTGTACAGTGCCCCAGGTGAGGGATGTATCCCCTGGCTTCTCCAGCTCTCTGCCCAGTGGCTCCAATTGGACAGAGGGGGCTCCTGCAGGCAGTGAAATGTGCCCAGTACAGTGTAGTCACTGGTGCCCCCTGCCTCCAGCTCCAACCCCTCTCTTTCTCTTTCTGCAGAAGTGGGGGGGATCATGGAGCCCACTGAAGCAGCTGACTGCTGGAGCTTTGGCTCTCTCTTGTATGAGTTGCTGACAGGAGTGGTAAGAGGCTGAGGAGCTGTGCAAGGAGGGCAGGGGAGGAGGAGGCTTAGGGGCTGCCTGCTGTGTAGGGCTGGGAGGAAGCCTTGCCCTGCTGGCACCTCAGTTCTTGGCCAGGTTCCTTTAGACCTATGATTGCCAGTGCCTGTGCATGGTCTCTGGGTGTTAAGAACCCTGGCTTTTAAATGCTGCTGTGTAGGGCTGGGGTTATGTGGCAGTGATGATTCAATGGTGCTCCAGCTCTCCTTGGTGCCTCTGCTTACCATCACCCTCTGCCTCCTGCAGCCACTCTCCCAAAACCATCCATCAGGGATTCAGCCTCACACCCAGCTGCATCTGCCAGAGGGCCTCAGCCTGGCTGCTACATCACTGCTCACCGAGGTGAGGGGTTTGGGTGGATGGGAGGGAGAATGGGATTAGAGGTTGGGGAGGGGCAGGGTCCAGCCTGGGTACCATTTCCAGTGTCCCCATCTCCCCATCCTCCTGTCCCATTGCTTTTCTCTGCAGCTCCTGCAGTACAATCCAAAACGCCGCTTGGGCTCTGGAGGAGGTGGCATAACAAAGCTGAAGTCTCACTCCTTCTTCAGCACAGTCCCGTGGAACAAGCTGGTGGGCTAGGCAGGCTGTCCTTCCCCCAGGGAGCTGGGCCCTGGGCTGCTTCCCTGGCACTTGTGGCCGCAGTGGCACTGGCAGCACTGTCTGCTGGGGAAGGCTTGCCTCAAGGGCTGCTCTGAGGTGGGGCACACACGAGGTTCTGCAGCCTTACCTGTCCTTCTGTCTCTGCTTCTGTTCGTTGCCATCTCCAAAGAGGAGGTGTCAGGCTGGGCCTGTCTTCTCTAGGTCCTCCCTGGGGGGAAAAGGAACCTGGATACCCACCTCCAGGAAGTGGTGGTGTTCCCCTTCTTGGGGCATCTCTTCCTCAGCTCAGCACCCTGCCCTGGAACTCCCTCCCTGTGTTTTTTATCTCTGCTGCTACCACAGTGACCCCCCTGCTCTGTTACTTTTTGTGGCTTTCAAATGCAGCCCCTCTGGGCTCTGCTGGCTGGAGCCCAAGCCTGCTGTCTCTGCCCCTCCCTGACTGCATGTTTGTGTGTGGGTCATCCCTGCTGCAGGGGTGACACAAGAAGGAGCCCTCTGCTCTCCTCCCCTTTGCCCTCTGAAAAAAAATAAACTACTCAATATCACTTAGAGAAGTGTCCTTTTGTTTCTGAGCTGCATCAGCGAGGTGTAGGCCAAGCCTGCTCAGTGACAGAGCCCCAGATCTGTTTCTGAAACCTGCCTGGGCGCCCTGGGTTGGTGCCACCCCAGCCATCAGCACCCTGCAGCCAAACCCCAGAAGGTGACAGTGAGTGCTTGGCCTTGTGTCCTTGTGCTGCTGCCTGCCTCACACCCTCAGGTCTGCACAGCTGTGTGCCTGCAGCTCAGACGTGGGAGAAATGCCTGGGTTTTCTTCCAGCCTTTTGTCATTGTTAGGTGTTGTGGCTCCAGCCATCCACACCCGGTGCACCTTCCCGCGGGCAGGACAGCAGCCCTGCCAACCGTGCTTTGAGCACAGCCATCCCTGCTGCCTCACACCGTGAGGGTTTGAAGGGGGGAACCTGGGAGAGCCAGCACAGAGGGAAGGAGGCCACATGTACGTGGATTCTGGATTAAAAAGTACAAACACGTGTGTCTGCTGACAGCCCAAGGTGGAGGCTGCCGTGCTCAGTGGTGCACATCAAAGCCACAGGCTGAAGGATGAGCTCGCAATGGCAGCGGTGCAGTTCTGACCCTCCTCTCCCAGCACCCCGTCACACTTCTCACTTACCTTCCCTAGTAAGGGATTACTGGTACAAGCCACACCTCTCTGTGGCTCGCTGGTTCCAGCTCCTGCTTGCCCGCAGCCGCAGACACCCTCCCAGGCAGCAGCAGGAGTGCTCGTCCAGCAGAGGGAAGCAGAGCTCTGGAGAAACTCATCTCCTACACCAGCAAAGGTACAGACACCTCGACTGCTGTGCAGGGAGCTGACCACTAATGCCACAGAGGGCCAGAGAGCAGGAGCAGCTGAGCCTGGAGCTTTTCCTCTCCATGGCAGCCCGCAGTGGCTGAACCCTCCAGCTGCAGCCTTGCACTCCCGTCCACCAGCCTCTAGTCCCGTGATTGAGGGGAGATTCAGGAGGAAGGACCCTGTGTCCAAAGGCACAGCATGGCATCTCACAATTCAGAGCCACGGGTGTCACCCAAGGGAGTCAAAGGGAAGTTTCAAGCACTATTCTCACAGCAAGCCTTGACAGGGCAGATTAAATAAAGCAGTTTGCATAATTTTAAGAGTTTGACTGAAGAGACCCTTCCTGTTTGGTTCAAAGACCTCACTTATTGCAGCTCCAGACAGAAAAAAGGCTTCCCCAGGCTCATGTACAAAGTCAAGCTGGACACCCTGTATCCTAAACCAGCACAGAGGTTGAGTGTAAGCAGCATTTTTTAATCAAAACCTTCTCTTTCACTCAACTTATTTGTGCAAGAATTTAGACTCTCTACCCTTCCCAGAACAAGGAAGGGTTTTTTCCTTTCCCTAACCTACCAGGGCCAGGCAAAGAAGCTGACTCTGCACTCTGTTTTTGTCCCTAGCTGCCAGGAAAATGCAGGCAGCAGTACCAGGAACTGCCTTCCCTCCATTCGTTTGGCAGCTGTGAGTGCAGTCATTTTCTGTTAGAAGGGGCTGCCCTCTTCAGCTGTAGCTGGGAAGGGTAAACCATCTCTCAAGTTGATGTCAGAGCTGGGAAAACCCTGCCATGATCTAGGAATAATTTGGTGTTGTCCCAAGGACAGCTTCTTAGGGAAACATCCAGTACCACAGACAGCTTACACTGTTTCTTGCTCTTGCTTCCTTTCTCCCTCTGCAACAGCTTTTCCACACTTGCATGAATTACAACTCTCCCCGTTGCAGCAGTAAAAATTCAACTTCTGAAAAACTGTATGAGCCTGTCCCAGGTCTCCCTCTTGGCCATCATGCCCTTTAGCTAACACTGAGAATTCCTCACCATCTGCAATCGTTCTGTTGTTAGAAAAGGATTTCCAGCCCTAAAAACCTCCTCTGTGCTGGGAAGAGCCAATTCCTTGGCAGAGACTTTGAGGACAGCAGTGTTCACAGGCACAGAAGACTCAATTTAGTACCACCTCAGATGGGCTCAGCTCCCATTGCCCCTTTTCTCTCACCACCAGATAACAGGACTCTTGCACTGCACTCAGGATGCCACTGATGCCAGAGTCCTCGCCCACTCAAACACACCCCACCTTGCAGTCGTTGCACAGTTTTATTTCATTTAAAATCCGCTGTGTTAAATATTTTTGTTACAAGTTCTGTGTAGGGGGTAAGAGTAATAGACTCCGCAGGCACTAGCAACCCCCTCACCCCTCAATTCATGTGTGCGCTATCAGATTAAGAACTGCCCCCCTCCCCCCAAAACCAGCACCCGTGGGCTGGGATATACATGACAGTGAAAGGCCTGGCCCCCCAGCTGTGCTGGAGCAGCCAAGCCCCCGCACGCAGGAAGCCAGCAGGCAGACCCACCGCCAGTGAGCTGTGTGCCAAGGGCAGCTGCTGGGGGCTGCTTCTCACCCCCGTGTCGGGCATGTGATGGTGAAAGGGTTGTCCCCAGGAACGGTGCCACCTCCACAGAGGTCACGGGCTCTGCCCACCCCAACAAGAACGTTCACGCCACACTGACTGGGCTGGTGAAAGACAATCGCCAAGGGAAAGTACAGGAGCTGCCACCCCGTGCTACTGTCTGTGGAGGGAGTGTAACTAGGGCACTGCCAGAAGCATGACACCTACCTCAAGCCCTGCTCTGACCAAAACTTTTCCTGCAAGTGGCCTCGGGGTCAGACCACCCTTGCAAGGCAGATGAGTGTGAAATATTTTCAAGCAAAACATGGACAGGACAGTAGCCTTTCCTCTCCTCTCCTCTCCCTCCCAGGAACCTTAGTGCTAGGCAGTAAAGCTGAACCTGCCATGGAGGGGCAGGGAAGGGTACCCTAGCACAGCAGCAGCAAGCAGTTTCCAGTGGTATAGGACAAGCTAGAGGTGACAGTTTGGTGCTGCGAGGGAGAGGATGCCACACAGATGGCTCTGGAAAGGCAGTGCCATTCAGTGGCTGGCCCACTGCACGGCAAGTTCTTGTGAGATACTAAACCTTCATTAAACAAAAGAGGAAAGGAGGTAGGAGCTATCCCCGTAATTCCCTCTGGGACAGCTCCAATCACAGCGGAGGGAGAAAGACTGGAATGACCCCTGCCAGTTCCCGAATGCCCTGCATCGTCCCTGCTGGTGCTGCGGCCCTGTCCTGGGTGGGTGGTGTGGGGGTGTGGCTGCCCTACAGGTCGAGCAGCAGCACGCGGGGATCCTCCACCGCTGCCTTGATCTTGCGCAGGAAGGTCACGGCCTCTCTGCCGTCGATGAGCCGGTGGTCGTAGGTCAGCGCCACGTACATCATAGGCCGCACCTCGATCTGAGGAGGGACAGGGGACAGAGAGCTCAGTGCTCCTGCCTGCATGGCCCCCTCCATCAGTTCAGGGAAGACCTGGCTTTTTCCCACCCTGAATCCTGCATTCAGGCCCTCCTGGATGTGTCCTGCCTGGCAAAATTATCTACCCATACACCCAGGCTGGGTCCATGCCACATACAAGATAAGGGCCCTTCCTGGAACCACTCCCTATCACAAAGGCTATAACCTCCTCCTTCCCACACCTAAGCAGATTATAACCAGTTTGCCCACTTACAGACAGGACAAAGTCCCCTCCACAGCTCAGGCAAGTACCAGGGCCAGCAAAGGTGCCCTATACCCATTAGTCTCTGCTCCTTCTTCACACTGAAGTGTTTCAGAAGTGACACCAAGCCCTTAGAAAAAGGTCCCCAGTCTGCTAAGCCCCGTCCTTTGTTCCATAAAACCTCCTGTGCAGGTCCACCTACCTTGCCTCCCACAGCCACAGGCCTGTCAAAGATGGCATGCATGCCTAAGATGGCAGACTGGGGTGGGTTAATGATAGGTGTTCCAAAGAGTGACCCAAAAACCCCACCATTGCTGATTGTGAAAGTGCCGCCATCCATGTCCTCAATGGCCAGTTCATTCTTCCGTGCCTAGAAATAAAAATAAGGTCTTAGAAAGCCACACAGATCACAGAGATCAAAGAACGAGGGTTTGGACATCCACTCTCTCCAGGAATAAATACTGATTGCAAGAGCTTTGCTTATTGATTTGTTCAGCTGAAAACCAGCACAAATTGCTCAAAACTGCATCCTGTCTTTAGAGCGAACACCTAGTGGCTTTGGGGAAGGATTCTCTGGCCTTTGCTTCCAACTCCTGCTTCTGCAGGAGACAGACACAGGGACTTCTACCCCAGGGCAGTTCAGCCTTGGCCTCTAAAGACAAAGGTGAAGGTATACCATGTCACTAATGCACAGATTGTAGTCTTCTGGATGGGCAACAAGTAGAGCTGTCCTAGAAGGCAAAGACACAGCCAAACATGTAACTGGATCACTCCCCACAGCACAGCTCAGTGTGTCAGAGGTCAGAGATGACGACACAGAGACCAGATCAATACATGCCGATCCAGCATTTTCAAATCTTTCCATTCCCCCCAACCCTCCTCAGAAAACTTTCCTTACCTTCTCCCCCAACTCGTAGATAGCACGCTCTATGTCAGCAAAGTTCATGTTTTCTACATTCCTAACCACAGGGACCACCAAACCCTGGGGAGAAGCAAAGTCCGTGAATAGCAAATTCAGTGCAGTGACACACAGATAGCTGTCATGCGGCAGGAATCTGGACACAGCCCCAGAGAGCTCCTGCCTCCCCCTCAGCCCACAGCAGCTGGTTGGCAGAGCTGCCTCACACCCTGGTAGCCTGACAGGAAACCTGGCATGACACACATCAAAGGCTGACACCTTAAATTGAGCCATCATCTTTGCCTTTGCTAGCCTATCTCATGAAATCAACCAAGCCTGTCTGGAGCCAGATCCACATTGATAAATTCCCAGGTGAGGCACTGGGAGATTTCAGCTGGCACCTCTTTCTCTCACCTCTTTTTGCTGGGCCTCCCCTTGACTTTGGGAGAAGACAGTGACAGAACTTTAGTCCTTTTGAAACCTCTGCTTCATAGCAGAATCTTCTAATCAAGAAGGTAATTCACTAATTCAACATCTGTAACTCCATCCCATACTCTCCCTGGACAGAAATATCTCTGTGGAACAGCACAGCAAAGTTAGCCAGAGGACAGGACGTTCAAAGCTTTTACTGCCTATGTCATGGATTCATGACAAGAAAGGGCTTCCCTAACCTGGCCTTACTCATTAACAACTGAGATCTATATTGACCCTATTAGCAGATCTCTTATTAAGATGAATATAGTGGCAGAATACTCTTGGTCCTCCACCTTCTCTCAAAACCTATCTCAGCAGTCCATAAAGCAGCAGGTTCTCTATAAATGATTCTCATTTTTGGAATCAGTCTTATCAGTTAATTTCTGCTGCAGCAGAGCACAAAGCTGAGCTGGCTCAAAGTATATGATCATCCCATAGGAAAGGCTGTGGGAAGCATGGACAAAGCATCCAAGGCACCTACCCGGGGAGTTGCTACAGCAACACTGATGTCCACATAGTCCCTGTACACAATCTCTTTGGTCGTGTCATCAATCACTAGAAAGAGAAAAAACTTGTGTTACATATGCAGAACCTAAGATCAAGGGTCTGACAGTTGAAAAAATCATAACGACTTGCTCATGTCCAGCTTAAACATAACTCCAGAGAAGAATGATTCCTTGCTGTACCTGTGGGTGAGGCACCAGGACAGACAGAAAGAAAATAGTCCACACAGCTCAGTTCTGCTCAGTTATTCTCCCCTTGGTTATTCTGTTCTTCTGTGTTTCAGCAAGCACCTCTGACATGCCCAGGAACTGCACTGTGCCTACAGCAGTCACCTGTACACCAACCAGCAGGCTCTGCCCTCTGCAAGCTGCATATGCAAGGCCCCAGCCCCACTCCTGGTCATCCCTTCCTAATTGAGTCCCTCTTGGCAAGCTGTCCTCTACCTATGTAAGTGGCTTTAGCAAAATCAGCAGCAGCATGCAGGGCTGTCCCCATGTTTTCTGTGCATTTGACTTGCTGCTCCAAGCTACTACTCCTGCCATGGACTTGGCCATTGGCTTTCCCCCATGCTGTCATGTTCCCTAGATAGGCAAGTCACCAGCAAGGGTCACCACTCACCTGCATTCACAACAGGCTGGTCCTGCAGAGCAAAGGCTGCAGCTTTCACAAAAGCTGACATGAAACCTAACTTCAAGTTGTGCTTTTTCAGAAAGGTATCCTTGTGTACAGCTCTCATCTCCCGGATGTTGCTGCGAAACACATGATAACACACACTGGTGAACAGGGAATCCAAGAAAACACCCTTCCCTCACTCTGCAACAGACTTCAGTGCCAGCCCCAAGGATGCAAATCTGCACCACCAATGGGAAACCTCCAGTCTGCTGCAAAAGCCTTCATGTGTGATATAAACAGGGCTCTAAGGTTCCTGCCAAAGGATCAAACAGAAACTGGTCCTGGACCACAAGCTCCACAGCCAAGGTAAACCTGCAAGGACCACACTGCCAAGAACAGAAGCAAGATGTGGCATGGTATATTTCCTGCTTAGGCCCGATGTTGCCACCTATTCTCTGGAGACAACAGTGCTCATACCAGTGTGGCACCACAGACAGCAAATGCAGGTGTGGCTGGACTGACAGAGAAGGGTGAAAAACCAAGATGTGGCAAAAGCAGTAAACATGCAGGAAATAAAATCAAAGTGATCAAAGGAAAAGACCTCAACCACTCTGCACATTCAGCACCAGACAGCACAACACCACTTTTGTACCCAACTCTCTGGCTTTGTAAATTGAGTGAATATGAAAGGAATTTTCCCAGGAGCTATGGTAGTGGGTGCCAGTCCACCCATAGCTCTTGACCAGAAAAGTCACGTTTTCCCACTGTTTCTATTAATCAAAATTGAGGCCATTTACAAAACATCAACCAAGCTGCAGCTACAAGCTCTGTCTATTCTAGCCTAACATCAGATGCCGTGGAATTGCATGGTTCATCCCTTCCCCCTTCAGAGACCTTCAGAGTTTCACCAAGGAGCAGGATTTTCTGTGGTTTGGAGTGTTTGTTTTCCTGTGTCTAACCTTGTTTAGAGTTAGGATTACTGCCCAAAGACATTAGTGCCTCCCAAGACACAAGGGCTGCAGCAATGAGGATACAACTTGCTATGCAACTGCCTCATTAAGGGCTCCTCCTTTCAGACACTGACCCCCGTGGGAAGCAAGAGGCCCCAGCACAGGTCTTCACAAATCAACTTCACAGTAATCAATCCAAACCACATTAGCAGATGCAACGAGAGCCCCAGGCCGGCGTAAAGCGACACCTCAATGAGCCTCTGAGAGGAGATAAAGCTGCAGCACTTCCCTCCAATCAAGACTATTTTGTCAGCCTTATTGTTCTGAGACCCAAATATTTACATGTTTTGTCTTAAGGAGTAGCATAGGATTTCACAAGGCAATTTGATTTGGGCACAATTTCCCCTTAATGCACTGTAACATAAGCTGCCCACCCTCCAAAGACATTAGTGTGCTCAGTCCATGCAAGCACTTGAGTCAGGAGCACCCCACCTGCTTGAGAGGATGGGGAAGGGTGCTGGTCTGTCTCTAGAAAGCTGTACCATCTGACAGCAAAGGCCTTGGGCCTAAGCAATGCTCACCTGAAAGGCTGATGAGCCCTGAAGAACCAACTCACTGCAA